CCGTTATACTTTGGGCCAAATATACCCTTTATCCATTAAATATGTGGATCCTATTCCTAGAATAAACATGGGAAAGGTTGAGATCAATTTTAAAAACCCATATCATTTTAATCCGGTTAATACCCAAAATTGTCAACTAATTAGCTTCAACTGATACATGAAAACTCATTTTATAACTATTGTTCCCATTTTTTTCTCTAAAATACAGAACATTAAAAAAAATTGTGTGTTATACTATTCTTATTGAGTTTATTATCTGAGTTGTGAAGTTTTTGAAAGTTCAATTAAGGTGGTGCTTGAAACTCCAATAATTTGGATTGCTGTGCTAAAATTAGAATGCACATTAGGTGGAGAAGTTGAAAACAAAGTTGTTGGATTTTCGAATTTATGGCCGATGAACTTTTAAAGTTTGTGATTGATAGTTCTTATAAATCAACCTAGTATTGAAAATTATTGTTATTGAAGTGATCAAAATTGATTGGAAGAAAACAACCTTGACATTACTCCATTGTTGAGATTTGAAGCTTTGTTGGGGTTGGGCTATGGGTTATTTTTGTTGTTGGCAGGCACATAAATTATTTGGGTCCTTCTAATTAATCTCAACCCTTTATGTAATTCGATAAAAACGATCTGAGTTTTTAAAATTAATCTCAACCTTTGACATGTTTATTCTAAGGTGGGACCCACATATTTAACAGATAAAGGGTATATTTGGCCCAAACTATAACTGAAGGGGTATATTTGGCCCAAAAGTATAGCAAAAGGTATATATAAACTATTTCTTATATTACATGGGTATATTTGACCCTTTTTCGATTCTAAAATAGTTGATCTTTTATATTCAGTAAAAAAGTTTTTTTTATTAATTGAATTGATATCCAATAAAGTCTACTTTAGTACTAGATTACTATTTTTTATATCCAGTAGTTGAGAAGATATTCCAAAATTGTTTAGTTAAGTAAAAAATATTTGCCGGAATAACTCAAAATATTGCCTTCAAATTAGGTCAAAACAGAATAGTCTTTCTTTTCTTTTTGAAATTTTTTTTTGTTCATTTTAATAGTTGCACAGTTTGCGCAACATATAATTCATTAATTAAGCATTTGACATATTCTTGGCTTAACTACCATTCGATATCAATTGTCAAAGTTTGAATGTAACTATGACCCTTCTTATTTCTAACCATCTCCCTAAAGAAAAGAAAAAAGAAATGAAACTACAAAAAATTAAACAGAAAAACATTTGTTATAATTTAAATCCGTCAAAATGTGACTATGATATTTAAGTCAACAATAGGAAATGCTTCATGATCATTTTGAATTTGAACTTCATACACATTGCACTTCTATTATTGTGATTAGGATTAAGGATATATGGAACAACATAAAAGCATTTGGGTTAATTTATGTTGAAATATACAAAACTGCAGGTCAAATATTGGAAATATACTTAATTTTATATTTTAGAAATCACAAGAATATTCGCAGTTGTTATTCTTCAGGTGCGCATTGAGTAAACTTGCTCATGTGCAATATCTTATAAATCACATAGAAGATATGAATCATACTAGGTAAATCCAGTATGAAGAGCTCGATAGAGAAGGGACCAAGTGGGGGAAATCCCCTAACATTCTTTTTGAAAAATCACACCCCCTACACCAACTCAATCGACTGAAAGAAGACTTGGTGGGATTTGATATCCGATCTCTCTTACATGATACCATTACTACACCAATTCAACCACCATGTGGGCGAAATATACTAAAACTATTAAACTAATTTATAAAACTTCCTTAAATGTAAAATTTAGGAAAAATAAAATTAAGATGTTGGTCAAGAATGTGTGACTTGGTGCAATATTGAAATTCGAGACATATGAATTCACATTCACAAATAATAGACAACGGAGTGCTCTTTTTCATTAAAATTATTAGGAGGAAACAAAAGGACATATTACCACTTGTAGCCACTTGCGCGGAATTTCATCATATATAATATATGATTGAGACATAAAAAGAATTAGGTTGAATATCTTGTGGATAACCCCCTCCATCAAAAAAAAAATATATTAATAAAAATAGATAAGTATTAAATACACCACTAAACTTGGCGTGAATTATTACTTTAGTCCTCCAACTATTGTCAGTCTTAAAAACATCCCTCTATTTTATTAAGAAAATTTAAAAATACCCTTCTTATGTCGTGCATATATGTGGAATTTTTCTGCTGACGTGGTATACACATAGATATATGTAATACAAAATATATTTAAAAATTATTTAAATAATTAAATGCTAAGAATTTAGCAATTTAAAAAGATAAAAAAAACTTTTTTTTTCTTTTTAAAAATTTATTTCTTCTCGTCAGCTCACCCCATGCTCTACCCAATACCCTAACCTCACACCTCACTAACCATCCACTCCCAAAAATAAACTCTTTTAAACTTTTTTTTGACGGGTAATGGGGGAGATAGGGGGTGGGGGGAGGAGACTCGGTGGTGTTGGTAAAAAAAAATTAACAAAACTTTTTTAAAAAATTGGGAGGTGAGGGGGTGGATGGGTGGTAGGATCCGGGTAGGGGATGGGGTGAGGTAAGCACAAAAATTACTTTTTTTGAAAAAAAAAATCTTTACTAAATTTTAGCATTTAATTATTTGTATGTTTTTTTAGGTATATATATATCTATATCTACACCACATCAGAAGAAAATTTCACATATACGCATAGGTGGACGACATGTGGCATAAGATGTGTGTTTTTAAATAACTTAATCAAGTAGAGGGGTGTATTTAAGACTATCAATAGTTGGAAGACTAAAGTAATAATTCACGCCAAGTTTAAGAGTGTCTTCAATAATTGTCTATAATAAAAGCAATAAAGAAAAGACCATTTTGGAATTAAATAAGTTTTACAAAAACTAATTAAAAAAAAGATATTTCTTGATGTTTGAGCGAAAAAAATAATTAGACAAGTAACTTGAAAATCATTTCCAAAATTTAAAACAAACATCCTTTTCAATAGATATATAACCAAGCTAATGTTTGATCTCAATTTTTTAAATTTTTTTGGGTGAAGTTTCACTATGAATTTTGAGAGAAATATTTGACTATTTCAAAAAAATATAAATTATACCTATAAGTTTTTAAAATTATTAAAAGTATCTTTAAATTTGTATTATCATTTTATAAAGAACATGTTCCATTAAAAAATAATCTTATAACATAATTGCTAACAATCAACAAAAATAAAATAATAACATGGGCAAGAGCAATACATTAATCGCATACTCAAACTTGTCATTAATTCAAAATGAATTATAATCCATTAGAAATAAATTGTTCTTTTTTGCCACGTTCTGTATAAATAACATAGAGGAATAATTATTATTTATTAATGCAGTAATTTGGTAGATAAATATTAGTTGGAATTAATAACTAATAATATAAAGTTTGGGGTAATTTTAATTTTAAAAAAAAAATCAAATATTAAAACTTGGCTCAAATACTACTTTTTTCTAGTATCTGGAAACTTGAGATATCTGGCAAATATATTTGCTAAGTGATGATAAGTTATATGACCAAACACTATTTTTCAAGTTTTTTCCAAATATATTTGAGGCCAAACGGATCCCGAATTTGAGAAAATGAAGATAACTGAAAAGGGGTAAAAACTAAAAGTATTTTAGAAATTTTTGATGTAAATCTACTTTGCATCTGTTATATTTTTGGCATTAAAGTATCGTTTTTGTTAGTCAGCTAGCTCAAATATATGCTTTAACCATTCAAGTAGCTCAAAAATGTCCATCCTACTAGGGATTATTTCAAAACAAGGAGAAAATGATATTTTTGTCCTTGTACTTCTAAAATGTATTATTTTTACCCTTAGTTTAAAGTTCAGAGACAAGAACTTTTAATTGTATAGATTTAAATAAAAATTTATATGAAAGATTATGAAATTACTTTGACTATTTAAATTTAATTATGGTGCACTGTCAATTTTGTTTAATATAAACTTTAATTATTAATATTATATTTTAATCAAACGTTTGTTCAATTATTTTATTTCAAAACTTTAGTATCCTAGACTGAAACTTGAAAGACTAAAGTTATTGTACATTATATAACATATAAAGATATAGTTCAATTTCATTTCTTTTATCATATCATTTTTAAAATTACTAAGATAAATTCACTATTACTAATATAAGAAAATAAACTAATTAAGTACAAAAAGGTATTACATGATTTTATATTTTGAAATAATAATTCATACTTGATGTTTAAGGAACAAGAAGCTTTTTTTTTGGTTGCTAATTATCACCATTAGTTTAGGTTAAAATGAAAAGCCTATACATTTCTTTTTCTATTTTTCTTATTATATTTCTCAATATTCAACACCTCAACTTTAAACAGAGAAGAGAATCCATTCATTTGAATAGTTCAAAAACAAAATCAATTCTTTTTTTCATGTTTAGGAGAAACCATCATTAGATAGGGTATTTTGTATTGCTTCACTAGTTGGAGATATTTTTTAGTTAATTAACTAACATTGAACACATTTTTATACCAAAAATATAATAAGTGGTAAAAGTGACCTATTTTAAATAATTTTGAACATTTTCCCTATCTAAAATGGTTGTAGTATAAGAAAAAAGAAAAATAGTTAATAACACTAAATATATCTGTATAATATTAATTGATTTGCGATATATTATTTGAATTTTAGATTCAAACATTTATACATTCTATTCAATAAAAATTCTACACTTAGACTCCTTATTAGTTAATCCCTTTTGTTTCAAAATAAATGTCTTCTTAAGAAAAAATAATAAATACATAACTAATCTATACATAAATATTATTAATAGTTACTTTACGAAAGTATAGTTGTTTTAAGAAGAATGAGGATGGAGAAATGAAAGGAAATAGAGGCGGCACAAATCCATATTAGTCAAAGTTTAATTAGAAAAAAAAGGAAAGTAGAGTGTTGAAGTTGTGGGCTTTTGGGTATTGTTTTGAGAAGAAGCAGTCATCGCCTCTGGTTTGAAACTGTTTTTTTTTTCCTAGACAGAACACTCAAAAACTAGTAATCCTCGCATTACTCTCTCCGCTTTCTTTTCCGTAACACACATATGCAACATATATCTTCGAAACACACATACATTTTTGTGTGTAATTCATCAAACGAATTTTTGTGTGTTGTAGGTAAGTAAATGCATCAGAAAAAATCAGAAGTTCAGATCGGAAAAGAAAGCAGTTGCATCTCTTCCGATTTCAATCCTACACCGCCCCTTGTTTCTTCTTCTTCTTTATCTGTTCATCAGAAACATACTTTGATTTCTCCTCAACATACTGCTATTCAGATTTATGTAGAAAATGATAATGACCCAATTCAACCTCATACCCCAACCAAAACCACCCCACATAAGAGACCTCATTTGGGTTCTAAATCTGTCTTCAAATCTCCATCTTTATCTACTTCTCTTCATAAATTCCCTTTAAAGCCTCAAAACCCATATAACAATTTCCATATATATCCTTGTCTTTGTCATCTTCGTCGAATTTTCCGTCTCCATATACGCCTTATACTCCTTCTTTCTCTACCCTTTTTCTATTTCTTAGTTTCCCATCCAACCAATTCTTTCTTTTTAGATTTTCTTTCTGCTTTTGCATTTTCCTCAGCCCTTTTGTTTTCACTAAATTTAGCACTCCCCAGACTTCCCTCAATTCGCTTATTCCTTTCTAGGTCTTTGCCAATTAAACTTTCTTCCTCCAAACAAGTTTCTAGGAATGCTTTGCCTGTCTTTTGGTCAATTGGGTCACGAGCAAAAATTGATAAAACCGTGAATTCAGGTTGTTATGTTCAGGCTTATAGTAATGGGGATGTCTATGAAGGGGAGTTTCATAAGGGCAAATGTAGTGGAAGTGGAGTTTATTACTATTATATGAGTGGCAGGTTTGAAGGGGATTGGGTTGATGGCAAGTATGATGGGTATGGAGTCGAAACATGGGCAAGGGGGAGCAGATATAGGGGCCAATACAGGCAAGGTCTTAGGCATGGATTTGGGGTTTATAGGTTCTTTACAGGTGATGTATATGCTGGGGAATGGTCTAATGGACAAAGTCACGGCTGTGGAGTTCATACTTGTGAGGATGGGAGCAGGTATGTAGGTGAATTCAAGTGGGGAGTTAAGCATGGCCTTGGACACTACCACTTCAGGTAAGATGTACTCATTGATATTTTACTTTCATTTTTGTTGTCTTAGTTTTGACCATATGTTCATCACCAAATTAAAGTTTCGTTCTGAAATCCAATAGGGGCATGATATGTTTGTCCATATGGATTTTAGTATAGCTTATAGATGATGGCATTTTATCTACTTATTTGCTTATTGGGAAAGATGCTACATATTTGGAATTTGCAGACAGTTAACACCTTAGATATGGCCTACATCATGTCAAGCAATAAATTGATTGTTGTTGTTGCTGTTTTGTTGACTATATATATATAGATATATCTTATATAAAGCAAAGTATGTGGCCTTCTTGAAATACTTATTATCATGGTTAGAGGATGGTGAAAATATTCGTTAAGCATGTTGCTTTTATGTCTCAAAGGAAGGGTAGCATTTATCTACTAGATGTCACTAAATAAATTTTTATTTCCATCTTTGTCCTTCTCTGAACTAATTAAATTTAAAAGGCGACCCTCTGTGCTGGGCTATAAGATAAGATAAGATAAGTTTATTGTACTACTTGATTGCCGGTAATAAAGAGCTTCTGTAAGAACTGGAAGACTTTTGATTGTATGTAGAAGGATGCAGTTTATTTTAAAACAGTAGGAGAATAGTTAAGCAATCATATTGGTACAACTGAACGAGAGCCAACCTTATGTGTTTACTTCGGAGTAGACAAAAAGAACAGTTATTGTCCCATTTTTCTTATGTCCGACCTAATTTGTTAATAACTTAACTTATGAGCAACAAGTTGAGTCCACTCCCTTTACCTTCTGTCCAGCTTTCCCCAGTTCCAGGGTACTGGATGATTCAACAACAATCAATATGTGCCTCTCTCCTCATTTTTTTGTATCTCATCTCCATGTAGTCATTTTTTTGTCATAAAGACGGTCCTTTTCTGTAGCAGGAGTATTCCCTTTCAAAAAAAAATCTTTTTGAGGGGTTGCTGATTAGTACCGACACTAGAATCGGATGTAGTGAATCTTGGGAAGCAGTTATCCCCCACCAGCTATAGTGTCTTAATTATGTGAATTGTGGAGCATCTTTGTTTCTGCTGAAGTGCATTTCTTGCCATTCCACTTCTTTCTGTGTGACCTTGCATAATTTTGACGTCAGTTGGAAGAAATGACTAGTAAAGTATACAATCATGCTCAAACGTGATACTATCTTGAAAAAAATTCTTAATGATTTCCGCCAGTAAAAAGGTAACTTGGTGGTTAATTAAATTTGATGACTGAGGTTAACTGATTGTAAAATGATATAAAACTTCATTGGCACTAGTATCTTGACAATGGAATCCAGTTCCCTTGGTTGTGGAATGTCAGGAGTCAATCTTCTGCAAGTGAGACAGAAGTTTTATGGGCATTTTCAAGAGAACATATAAGCCTATGTTTCAGAATAGTTTATCTGCTGACTCTGCATAAAATTTGCTAAAATGGCAGAACTAGGTCCTGAATCATGGGTTGATTGACTGACTAGATAGTTTGGATGATTTTGCTCTCTATTGCAAACTTTCGGATTATATTAAAATTGTAATTTGGAGACTGATTGGGAGAAGATATGCATAGATATACTGACTACATTCCGTTGAGATTTATGCTATGGGCATAACAACCAATAAGATCACTGATATTGACGGTTTTGTATGATTGGTTGATAATTAGATTTTACAAACGTTAGAGAAACTAATTGCTGATGGATCATCTCAGAGTATTGCACGTATGGTTGTAGAAGATATAAAATCAACTAAGTCAAGACAAGAAGAGCGTGACTATTTCAAAATATGATTGGAATAGCAATTCGTTGGCATAGCTTTATTATAAAAGATTGGTGAACTTCCTTTGAGTTTGCTACCCCAGCTACTTCATTTATATATTAGTTTAAATTATCAGCCTAGGAGGTAAATTGCTTGCCTCATATGAATTGCTAAATCCCACTTTTTATTTTTTCAAATTTTTTTGGGTGTTGTGGGAGTTTGGTGGTGGCGTTTTGTGAAGGCACATTGCCCATACTTCATATAAGTTAAGCAAATTTCTAATCACTTGTAGCACCTGAAACTAAAAAGCACTGAAAAAGTGATACAGCTGTATCGTTTGGAAGTTAATACCAGAGAAACATTTATATCCTCATTTTTTTACAATTATTTCCATTTTGTGAGTCTAGAGATCCATGTACCAGGTAACTTATTTGGATCAAGTAGACAGGATGAAGTGGTCAGTTGAACATCATAATTATCACGAAGAGCTTCTTTCCCATTTTAATGTTTGTGTGCTTTAAAAATTGTTATGGACTGTGGCTGTATGCCTATATCTGAGTTAGTGCAGGGTTCTCGAAAAATAGCATTTCATTGGTGAAAGATATTGGTTGTAATGGCGATGATACTTGGTACTGTGACTCATATTTATCACCAAACAGTTCGAAACAAGAATAACTGATACTTGGGCGTAGTTTTTACCTGACAGGTCCTTCATTTTTGCAGTACAAAGCATGCTCTGTTAACTGGTGCGATGATGAAATGACAATGAAGCTATTGGCTTACATATTTTATTTATATTTCCTGCCATTGACTTGGTTTTTACTTTTCAATATAGGAATGGAGATAATTATGCTGGGGAATATTTTGCTGATAAGATGCATGGTTTCGGAGTATATGTTTTTGCAAATGGGCATCGGTATGAAGGAGCCTGGCATGAGGGAAGGAGACAAGGGCTTGGGATGTATACTTTTAGAAACGGGGAAACCCAGTCTGGTCATTGGCAAAATGGGGTCCTTGACATTCCAAGCACACAGAACAACTCCTATCCTGTATCTCCTGTTGCTGTTTACCATTCCAAAGTGCTAAATGCTGTACAGGTGAATTATTGGTTTATCTTTTAAAAACTAGTTATTACATCTGAAGTTATTGATATAAAAACAGGATATTTATTTTCTAGGCTACTCAGATAGATCTACTTCTCCAGCCCATGATACAGAGTGTCATAGGCTCGTTCCCTTAAGTAGTACTTGAGTTGGCTTATAAAGGATTATATACTAACATAATTATAGCTTGTTTGGTCAAGCTTTTGGGAGGCCAAAAACACTTATTTTTTAAAAGTTTGGTCTTTGGCCAAGTTTTCAGTAGGAGAAAATAAGTAATTTGGAGAGTAGGAGAAATTGGTTTTCATAAGCTAAAAAATAGCTTTTCTCAAAAGCACATTTAAAATAAAAAACTTTTTTTAAAAATACACTTAGAAGCACTTTTAAAGATTTGGCCCAACTCTAATTGCTGCTCAGAAGTAATTTTTAATTTGACTAGCCAAACATAAATTGCTCCTCACCAAAGGTACTTTTTTTTGGACAACTCTTTTTCATAAAGGACTTTTCGAAATCAGCTTTGATTAGAAGCTTCGCCAAACTTGCTATTAGTACTCCTGCAAATTCAAACTTCTCAATGTCATATACTATGAGATGACACGACTTATCCGAGTCAGTTTGATTCTCAATCTGACAGTTAGGTGGGAAGAGAAAAATGCAGGTTTAATTTGTCCAAACACTGATTGCTTTTCCATATTTTAACCAGGAAGCACGTCGAGCAGCAGAAAGGGCCTATGATGTGGCTAAGGTTGATGAGAGAGTGAACAGGGCAGTTTCAGCAGCCAACAAAGCAGCCAATGCAGCTAGAGTAGCTGCAGTGAAAGCTGTGCAAAAGCAGATGCATCATCATCGCAGGAATAGTGATGACCTTGCAATGTTCAACTGATGGACTTGTTTCAATTCAAGCCATAAAGTGTTCATCCTTTTTCACAGACAGCTGCAAAGGGGATTAGTCCTTAAATTATTGTTCTCCGTTCAATCACTTTTGTGATTTCCCTATCATGCCCCATGCAGAAGCTAGTTGTATTGTCTCTTGGATTTTTGCCTTGTCTAAGTTGTGCATTCTCCAAGCTGCTGCATTACGGTTCAACCCCTTGCTAAGAAAGTGGATGACATTACCTGCCGGCATACCTTTTTCATTCATATGTTTTGTAAATTCAGCTAAGTTGTAGAATATGAGGTTTTGCTGTCCAGAGAGAACCTCAACCCTAGCAGTCTTCTCATGTGTACTAGCACTGTTGAGAATCAGTTGAAGTCATAAAAGGAAATAGAAAGCCTCGTCTTTATTTTGTCTGACTAAAGTTATATAGCTGTATAATTGCTTGCTTATGTTTGGATGAGTCTTCTTTGGGTGTGGGTTGAGGATTTAAACATACTCAAATCGTACTTTTTGTTTTCTAACATATGATTTGACAGTCAGTAGGAGATACTATGTAATAATTACTTTTTACTGAATTATATTGGAGGTTCGTCAATCAGAACTATTTTGTGCATAATAACCAGATTTAGAATTTTCTTGAAAGACCAGACATGTAACTATGCTGGAAAGGATCCAGATGTAAGCAATTTGAGTTGAAACATGAGTACATATAAGCAAAGCAAAATCAAACATTCAACTTGCATAAGACATTCAGATTCCAGTGTCTAGCTCTCTGTCTGCTCCCTTAGCCTTCGAATGGTGCTCCTAACAGTGACAGCACTTGCAGTGCTGCCAAACAAGGGAGCAAGTCATTAGTACTTTACGTAACACAGGAAACAGAAAAGCAAATGGTTGAGATGAAAATTTACTTGAGCGTATAGGCACCCCCTGCTTTGACTTCAATCTTTGCAGCCCCAAATACCAACAGCCTTCCTTTTCACGGCATACTACATACATTACAATGCCAATATCTAATTAACATTATTACCAATGCAATGATGAAACACATGGTCTATGCTGGTATACCTTCCCACAGAACTCACAAAAATACTTGCTGTGCTGACTGACCTCCATCTTCTTAATCTGCTTCCTCAAACTAGCCCCATAACGGGTACCTGTAAGGTTATTAAAAGACATGTATTTCTTAGCAAATAATTAGACACATACCATACTTGCCGACAATACCAGCCTTCTTGGTCCTCTTGGTCTACACATGAAGAAAATGTTATTTAACAAGCTAAAATGACTATCCAGGATTTCGAGAAGCTAAATAAATTAGGAATTTCCAATGTGACAAACTTGAAAATTTTGAAAGATTAAGGCTGTATATATATGTATTAGAGAGTGTTAACCAATTTTAGAAAAATAAAATAAAACAAGATAGATATAAGATTATGAAGAGGAAGAGTAGTGTTCTGCAGAAATGAGAGCAATGAAACCAAACCAAGGAATTAGATATACTGAGTCAAGCAGTAGGTGAGCAACCAATGCTACTGATGAATCTCTCTTACAGGTTCTGAATGTCAAAGTTCATTTCCAGTACAATCACCAAAAGAAATTTAAAAAAATTAAAAGATCCACTTCCAGCCACATTTCCTTTTCAATCAATTAAACTAGTAAGGGGATACTGAATTATCATTGAGAATGAAAGGTCTATATATTCAGCTTCGCCAATCACCTCGCCCAGTTCAAACTTGTAAACATGTTAACAAAACCATAACAAGTAACGCAAACGAACTACATAAAATTATCTAATCTGAATTTATTTGTAGAGTAAAAGAAATATTACCATTTTGACAAGTTAAGGAAGTAAAGACGATTGAAGAAGACGACCTAGCAGCGGCAACTAACCCTACAGTTCCATTGGATACAGCCTGCAGTTAAATCATGCTACATGCAGCCCATTATTCTTTTGTTGCTTCTCACCTAAAGCCCACTATATAGAATTTAAGCCCATTATTCAATTATACCTTATTGGCCCCTATTTTTATTGGAAAAAGTAGCTAATTAGCCAAATCCTTAAAATAATGGACAAATTACTTAACTACACTCATTTACTTACCTTAATATCCATTTATCCCTACTTATTTCAAAAATTTCAAAAATCTCTTATTTACCTATGTATCCCGCATGTATCCTGTGCACAACGCTATGTATCCCGCTATGTGGAATGTATCAAACGCTATGTATCCCGTGCACAACGTTATGTATCCCGCTATGTGGAATGTATCAAACGCTATGTATCTCGCTATGTGGAATGTATCAAACGCTATGTATCTCGTGCACAACGCTATGTATCCCGTGCAGAATGTTATATATCCCGCTATGTGGAATGTATCAAACCTAATGTATCCCGTGCACAACGCTATGTATCCCGCTATGTGGAATGTATCACGTGCACAATGTTATGTATCCCGCAAACATCATTTTTAAGGGAAAACTAGAAGGGATATGATGTTATTTAGTACTTATATTATGTGGTTCCTATAATTTATACTAAAATAATTATTAAAAATGTTAATATATCAATATTTTAGAATAAAGTGTATCATAGTTTAGTTCCTAATATATATCGGATGCTTTGAGTTGGAAGACACTCCTAAATGGGTAGCTTAGTCTTTCTTAAGTTGGAGGAGAACCTTTGGCCTCGGAGATTCAGTCATTGGCTAGACAGTTGGTTCGACTTGATATTTTTACACCTCATCGTGTTTTAGCCTTTGTTGAGGCTAGATCTAATTTGATGGATCAAATTCCTTCCCACCAGTTTGAGGATGACAAGTTGAGAGCGATTCAGGACAAAGTAAGGTAGAGCTAAGTCGACTTCTCTTGATCTCGAGGGAGTTTTGAGGATTAATGGTCATATTTGTGTGCCTAGAGTGGGTGGTTGGGTGCGCATGATATTGGAGGAGGCTCATTGTTCTGAATACTCTATTCACCCGAGAGCGGCTTGCTCCATGTGTTACTTCTCGTGTCTCAGCCTATCTACCTCCTTATTTGGTATCAGAGCCAGACCGTCCTCTTCGGAGGGAGGAGCAAGGTTTCGCATAAGGTCTATTTCTAGTGTTTTTACCGCCAACTTTTATTTATTTAGTCTTTTACTTTTGTTAGAACCTTTAGTCCTGAAAAGTATGTATATTCATAAACTTTGTTTATACTCTTTTCATATATTAATTGTAGTACCTTTTATATTTTGTTATAATCTTTCAAACGTTCGTAGTTATATAAGGTATGTCCATAGTTTTTTTCATATATTAGTTGTAGTGTTTTTTCGAAAATTTTTATTATGGTAGAGGCCCAACCAACCAAAGTTGTGTGAGGCTCCACCCAATTTTTGACATGTGGATCGTGGGGCCCAGCTATCAGTTAAGGCTGAAAAATGAAACCAAAAGGAGAGAGAATGTAAAGTTTGAGTGGGAATTGCAAGACAATTGTGGGGTCCACATCAACTTCAATTAAATTAATTAAAATATTTTATTGAAAATGGAAAAATGCACAGTAAAAAAGGTAAGGAAGGTAATAAAAAATCATATTATTAGTTGATCAATATTTTTATTTTCTATTTTATATCCACATTTATTTAACGTGTTGAATTGAATATCTATTAAAAAATATTATTCTTATATTAAAATTTGTTTACACTCTATTTTCTTTAAGCTCACGTTACTTGTGTATATTAATGTTAAATACCAGACTGTCTAGAAGCTTCCAGACTGTTAATCCCTTTTGCTCTTCCCTCTCTTTCTTTTTGGTACATTTTTCCTTCCAAAGCAAACTCATAAATGTATTTTTTATTTAGAATATATCAAAAATTGTCAAAATGAATTTAAAAATTGTACTTTTTCATAATGATAATTAACTTATTCAAGTTATATTTATTCTGATTTCTATCTTGTTTTGGAATTATATATATTATTTTGTCATAATAATTATATTTTAAAATAGAAATGAAATCGGGGCAGGACAGTTAGGATGCGACATAATTTATTAGGTATTTAAAAAAATTATAACTAAAAATTTAATTTTTTTTTGATAATCTCTGTTTAAAAATAACTTTATATACATGAACTAAAAATGATAGTACTCAAATTATGAATTTTTTAGTTAATTTGATAATTAAAATTGTTCAATAATAAAATTATTATTGATATTCAATCCTTAGAACATTTTTCCGTTTTGACAAAATAGATATTTATTAATATTTTTATTGAATATATCAAATGTTTAATTATATATTTAAAAGTTAGATATTTTATTAGGAGTAAAAGGAACATAAGGCTGGATAAGATTTGTGTATATTAACGTCAAATACCAAATTAAAGACAATAAAATATACACAAATCTTATATTATCTTGTAATATAGAACTATTTTTAAAAGTAACGCGAGTTTAAAGAAAATAGAGTGTAAACAAATTTCAATATAAGAATAATATTTTTTAATAGATATTCAATTCAACACGTTAAATAAATGTGGATATAAAATAGAAAATACAAATATTGATTAGCTAATAATATGATTTTTTATTCCCTTCCTTACCTTTTTTACTATGCATTTTTTCATTTTCAATAAAATATTTTAATTAATTTAATTGAAGTTGACGTGGACCCCACAATTGTCTTGCAATTCCCACTCAAACTTTACATTCTCTCTCCTTTTGGTTTCATTTTTAAGCCTTAACTGATAGCTGGCCCCACGATCCACATGTCAAAAAATGGGTGGAGCCTCACACAACTTTGGTTGGTTGGGCCTCTACCATAATAAATTTTTTCTTATACTTCAGAACAAATAACTTGCGTCTTTTCTTAGATTTTAGAACAAATATATGTTTGAGTCTTTATTGTCAAAAAACAACAAATATATGTTTGAGTCTTTATTGTCAAAAAACAACAAAAATATGTCTATTTCAGAGTCTTTACCATCGTCTTCCACTTCTTGTAAATTAGTGTCTTTCCCGTCGACGTCTAGTTCATGTAAATCCTTAGCCAAAGTAAACATGTCTCCTACTTTGAGTAAAATGTTGTTGTGTAAATACGACTACCTTTATAAAGTAGATGTGTGACCCCCAAAAAATAAAATATCGTCCACATATCTACCACTGTTAAACCCATATTCTGCCTTTGTAAAAAAGTCTTGTAATTCTTGGATGCAAATCCGCTCCTTGGTCCAAAAGAGCCGAAAGGAGTCAAGGAATTTGTTGTTGCGTCTAAATTTGACCAGCACCCTATTCTTGCAAATCAAGAGGAACAGTTCATCACTTTGCAAATACAAGAGGATTTTCCTTGACAGTGGAAAAGCCTAGGTTTTACCCATATCCATTTTGGTGTTGTTAGAGTTGTGTTGACATATCACGGAAGAAAAGGCCAACCCGTTGTGGCGCGTATTTCCTTTTTAGATACCAGATACTATAAATACCAACATGCAAACTTGGGTACGTCAGAAATCACTCTCAACACAGGGTCTGTCTTTGTTATTATATTCTGAAACTTCAACATGTCCCTA